TCTGTGCGGTTGGTCTCTACGTGACATACTTAGTGGAAACCTCATAGAAAGCGGCTCTGAAGAAGGCGAAATCCGCCGAAACGTCAGCTTAATCGTGAACAAAGAATAATAACACCTCGCGTTTGCTCAACAAAAATACGAAGAAAATCATTAGATAATTCATATGTTTCTATACTGTTAGATACGAGGTGTTTTTGACAGGCTCAAGCAGAATTTTATGCGCAGAACAGTAAGATCGCAGAAATGGGGACTACTCTTCATTAAGGCTATGGGTAGAAACTGCGATAATGTTCGGCTCTGTCGAACGAGCAGAATCTTCTCCGCACACGGCATTGACTCAGAAAATTTTATATAGATACTACTCCTCCTCCATTATTTAGTTTTCAAAGTCAGATCTCATGTCCTCTATAACCGATGATGCTATCTGTTGTTCACAAGTGAGACATAATACGCTCATTTTAACAAAAAAGAGTTTAGAGTAGTTCAGTCTTTTAGAAATGCTCCATGTTCGCCATTTGATAACATTCGTAGAGATACCGGAACGCATATTTGGCCAATACAGTTTGCTTGTACAATTATTCTCAGGAGCCTAGCGGTGTATCAAGTTAGTGTTTTTGCCTACCCAAATAGGTGTGATGCTAAACTACCCAGCTAGGAGCGATGGAGGTCTTGGTTTGCCAGGATACGACGTGACATCGAACTAGGGACCATTTTTACAACGCAAGTCATATCTAGCTACCGCGCCACACGACGCTGCAGCTATGTGAAAAAGGACAAAGCTCTCGGTGTTGATCCATCCCTGAGGGATGCGCCATGCATTCGACTTCATTAAGCATCATTTGGACGTGACTGAACGCATATGTGGCCTTTACAATGACTGGCGGTGTTCTACCGATGATTCGAGTCAGTGCTGCTATCCTCCCAGACATGTAGCACCACTGTGCTGAACCCAGAGGGATGGGGAGCTTGGTGGGTCTTCGGCGAGGGATCAATCCCGTGTGTACTGCCGAGCGCTTCCGACCGCTACACGCGTCGAAACGTAAACCGAATAAACCTCTTTATCAAATGCTTTACACTCAGGGTCGTCAGCTTTCATTGATTGCCTACTACTTTTCAATAGCGGGGTATTGCGTGGAATATAATCATAAAGATGCTGAGATATTTGAAAACTCACCACCGCTGGTGTATGCGGTGAGAAGTGAACACGCTATTACCCTTTCCGTGGGCTAACGTGTTCACCACCACACCATGCGAGTCCTTCGTTTCGCCTGTCTCTCAGCTAATTCCATCGATCACTGCCATCAGCAATCACCCGTCAACAAGGTTGCTCTGGGGAGCACAAATCGGCGTTGAACCCAGCTAAGCTTAAGCTGTGGTCTAAATTACAATGTCGTTAATTTTCATTTACTGTCTACTATTTCACACCACAGTTTCCACTTAACTGGGTTCAAAGCCGATTTGTCCTCTCCAGATCAATCCCGTTGAGGGATGATTGCAGATAGCACCTATAAGTCAATAACACTACTCAGAGAAAGGAGAAGCGAAGGATTCGCATAGTATGGCAGTGAACGCGTTATCCCACAAAGCGGAAATAGTGCGTTTGGTCCCCATCGCATATGTCAGTAATTCGGAGTTTTGCAAATATCTCAGCATCATTATGCTATGCTTTCAGTTCGCTGTGACTTGCCTCACCAGTACCCTTCTACAACGACAATGAGGTTGCACTAATTCATTTTCTTCTTTTCTCAAAAGCTCATC